CCGGGAGCAGCTCCTCTGCAAAGCGCAGCAGGGCTGAGGGCACTGCCTGCAGGCACCGAGGGGAGAGGAGGGAGGAGAAGAGAGGTTAAAGGCAGCCTGGGGTGAGAGGCTGCTGAGAGCTGATTCAAAGAGGACTCTTCACAGCCCCCTAGATGGTAAGTCTCTGTCTGCAGGGAAAGCAGCTGTGGTTGCTGGAGGGATCTCTTCAAGCTGGTACATCCCACAGCTTGTGGGAACTCCTGGGAGGATTTTTGGGTGTAGAAAGAAAATGGCAGAATTTACTTGAAAGGAAGGAGTCTGTGCTTTGAGACGTCTCATCTTAGTCAACGGGGTTGGGAGGGGGAGATGGGACTTTATTTTTCTGCTCTGGAGAAGGCTCTGAGAGCCCAGTTCCCATTAGGGCTTGTCTGAGCTGCTCCTTAGCCCCTGCACACAGAGGTGGCCCTGGGCAGTGCCCTGCTGCCAGGAGGGGTCTGCAGGGCAGAGCTGAGCACACAGAGGGTGGGATGGGCTCTGTGAGCAGGGACAGGGAGGAGAGGTGTGGACAGAGCAACAGCTCCTGGCAGGGACAGCTCCAGGCAGCAGAGACATGAGCAGGGAGTGAGACCCAGGTGTTCCCAGAAATGCTGTGGAAGGGAGCTTGGGGCACCTCCCTGCCATCCCCTGCAGTGCAGACACCTTCCCTGGAGAAACCCCCTGCTGTGCTCTCCCACCCAGCAGAGCCTCTGCCCTGAAGGTCACCTTCTCAGCAGCCTGACCCCTGAGGAGCGGATATTACCAAATACCCGAGTGCCTCCATCAGCAGCAGCACTGTGGCATTTCTCTGGGTTTCCCCTCCTCTCTCTGCTCCCCTTGATCGTATCACCAGGTTTGCTGGGATGGGGGGGTTGGGTTCAGACGCAGCTCAGAGACCAGCCCTGTGGGTCTTGTCATGCAGATGTGTCCATGGGAATGAAGTGTCCAAGTTCCTGCCTAACACCCGGGCTGCAGGGGATACAAATGACCCCATTGTCCCTTCAGGACACCCCGTCTTTAGGACATTTGCTTCTTTCCCTGAGGAGTCTTGCTGGGCTGCAGGCTGCCCTCCCCCAGCTCTGTCATCACATACCACTGTTATCCAGTCTTCCTGGCTGGGAATGAAAGGGCAGAGATCCTGCTCAGGTAGAGTGAGACAGGCTGAGGGGGTTGGAGATCTGCACTTGGGAAATGGAGTCCTCTGCTCTCAGCAGTGCGCAGTTCCTTTTGGGGGAAACGTCCGGGTGCGATCATCCTGCAGCTCAAAGAGGTGCCAGCACAGGGCAGCTGAGACCAGGGCTGATGGACCGACCGGCTCTCCTCACTCATCACTAGGGGACAGTCCCTTTGTCTCTTGGGACGCACAAGGTTTCACTTGGAGTGCAGCAGAAATGCCAGGGATTTCTGCCTGAAAAACACTCCTCAGCTGTAGTGGGACAACTCCAACAGAAAAAACAAAATTCTCTCAAATCTGCTCTGCAGTTAGGTGAAATTCGAACAACAATGCTGAAAACCTCTTTGATATCCCAAGTGAATTTAATCCCAGACCAGCCTGTGTTCCTATGGACCTATGGCTGTAGGGCAGGGCTGGCTCCTGCAGAGCCCCCAGCAGAGCCCTCTGCTCCCTGGGGCAGCCTCAGCCAGCACCAACCAGAGATCACCAATGGGACCTGTGAAAGGTATTCCTGAAAGGGGAGAGGAAATTGGAGGGGGTTCTATGAAATATGGAGAAGGTCTATAGAGTTGGGGAATGAGCAGACTCGTTCCTCTTTCAGCTCAGGTAGGGAGAATTCTGTGGGAAATGACATGGGCTTTTCCTAACAGAAGTGTACCCTAACTCTTCACTGACTTTTTCCCCTTGGACAGGTCCCTGTGCCTAGAAGAGAAAGATGTCCAACAGCAGCTCCATCACTGAGTTCCTCCTCCTGGTATTCACAACCACACGGGAACTGCAGCTCGTGCACGTCTGGCTCTTCCTGGGCATCTACCTGGCTGCTCTCCTGGGCAATGGCCTCATCATCACTGCCATCGCCTGCGACCACCACCTCCACACCCCCATGTACTTCTTCCTCCTCAACCTCTCCCTCCTCGACCTGGGCTCCATCTCCACGTCTGTTCCCAAATCCATGGCCATTTCCCTCTGGGACACCAGGGCCATCTCCTACACAGGATGTGCTGCACAGGTCTTTTCTCTTACCTTTTTGATAGTAGCAGAGTATTCTCTCCTCACTGTCATGTCCTATGACCGCTACGTTGCCATCTGCAAACCCCTGCACTACGGGACCCTGCTGGGCACCAGAGCTTGTGTCCACATGGCAGCAGCTGCCTGGGGCAGTGGGTTTCTCAATGCTGTGCTGCACACGGCCAATACATTTTCTATACCACTCTGCCACGGCAATAAACTGGACCAATTCTTCTGTGAAATCCCCCAGATCCTCAAGCTCTCCTGCTCAGATGCCGACCTCAGGGAAGCTGGGCTTCTTGTAGTTGCTGTCTGCTTAGCACTTGGTTGTTTTATTTCCATTGTGCTGTCCTACATGCAGATCTTCAGGGCCGTGCTGAGGATCCCCTCTGAGCAGGTACGGCACAAAGCCTTTTCCACGTGCCTCCCTCACCTGGCTGTTGTCTCTCTGTTTGTTTGCACTGTCACATTTGCTCACCTGAAGCCCCCCTCCATCTCCTCCCCATCCCTGGACCTGGTGGTGGCAGTTCTGTATTTGGTGGTGCCTCCAGCAGTGAACCCCCTCATCTACAGCATGAGGAACCAGGAGCTCAAGGAGGCCGTTAGGAAAGTGATTTCATGGAAGTTTTTCAGTCGTGATAAACCTCCCATCTTGTCCCGTCCCACTCAGGGGGTGAGGGTGAGGTTAACTTTTTAATTCTCTGCACGGTAATGAGAAGTAACGACAATGACTTCAGAGGTTCAAACCAACTATAAATTTACTTAAAATTCAGTGGAACTACAAAAGATAGAGGCTTGGCAAAGGTCATAACAATGCTCAAAATT